CCTTTGCAGTCAAGGATCGAGATCCCTTTAAGTTAGGAACCGAGATCCCAATAGGTAGGGGTCGATATTCCCTAATGGAAGGAAGCAAGTATCATTCAAGCTCAGCTTAGGGATCGCCGGATCGAGATTCCATAAGGGGATCGCCACCCCTTGACCAATTTCCCTACAACTATGCTCCCAAGTGCTCATCTTAGCATCGTTCACCCACGTCCTCCACAGGAGTTCCACAGTGAGGTGCATGACACAAAAGCCAATAAAATCATCCCCATGAGCATGAGCAGCCTCAAAATACTGCTCCATGTCTAATAGGAAGTTTTGCAAACTCTAGAGATCCTTATGCCTTCAAACGTCTTGGTTCTAACACCCACACACTCTGTCTAGCCTACAATTACCGAGAACGGGAACGTGAGGAGTTCCAAGAACAGGAATGGGAGCACGAAGTGAGTCTATCTCGAAGATCCCTAGACGGCAGAGCGAGTTCCGTACATGGTTTGGGGAAGGATACGAGTTCCATGACTTCTAGGGAGCGCATTTCTATATGGACAGGAGCAGGTTCCCTACCATAAGGGATCGTGTTGTGTCATTCTTAGGATCGGGGTTTCCGGAGTTCACTATTTCAAGTAAATTGTAAAGTGGGAGCGAGTTCCATTTTTTGCTATGGTAATAATGGGCTCTTGGGTGGATAAAGGGAGTGGGCGAGAGAGTGGGAGGAATGGATAGAAAAGCGAAGTACTATGGGTTATGTGTCTTTCCTACAAAGGTTGTGTTGTAATCGACCCTAATGCCCAAGAATGTGATCCCAAACATGAATATAAAGATATGGTTGAATTGTTTTTCTTTTTCCCTTCCTTTGCCTATAAGATTAAAGTAATTAACTTTAGAAGATTGGCAAGAAAAGTCATTAAGTATTTAAGATGATGTGATTTCTTAGTGTTCAAGGTTGTAGGTCCTTCAACATTATTTGGATTCATTTTGCTTACACATGAACAGTCTACATGCCACAACCAATAGCCGTCCACCCACTGTCACCCTTTCATATCTCACCTGAGCTGATAAACGTCCACCTAGAGATGGCACACAGAAACAACATGATTAGTTCAGTATTACAATACAATTATAGTTTACAATGTGCAACCCCTTCCGACTGTATTCAGAGACTTGCACAAAATATTACCTTATTTCATTAGAAATGCACCATTAACCGATTGTGCAACACATCAATAGATTGTGTAACACATCCATTTTACCGTAATGAAGTGTATCGATCGTGACCTCACTTCACAATAAAATTGCAACACGGCTAACTTATGAACCTCCTTCCAATCTTGTCCCTACTCTAGTTGCCTTTCTTTAAAATTGAACACAAATGTCATTGCAAAATGCGTGCGTCGTAGAAAATTTGAGGAAAACCGAATACTATACACGAATAAAATAAACTTTTTTTTGATAAAATTAACAATTTCATTAAATAAGAAGATAGTATGTACAAGTGTTGGGAGCATCTCGTACAAAAATTGGGAGCTACCGGAGCCCTGAAGGGGCTAAGTAATCCCTATACAGAAAAAACAGGAAAACAGACAAGTGGCTACTGTGACAACAAAAAATTGACACATCCAACAAGTCAAAGGGTTTATAAAACGGCAATTTTTACAACGTAAATACAAGAGGTGAGCAAAAATTGGAAAAAAACCCTGCGGCAAACTTCAAGGAGGTCCAAAACTGTTTGTAAGATCACGAGGCGGAGATAGGCCAATTTCTTGGATGTTGGCTCTGTCATTGGCCGTGAGATCTGTGAACTCGTTCAACGTCCTGAAGATATGCCTCCATGAGACGTTGATATTCCAACAAATGAATTCAATCTCATCAAAGATCCCAACAAATGAATTCAATCTCATTAAAGATCGAAGCTATGTACCAAAGGGGTATAGACTTTCCAGATGCTCAAGAGATAATATTGTAAGCATCCCCTTCAACTATCAAGTGGGATCCCCAAGAAGGGTTAAAGAGCTTGAGCCCCAACAATAGTGCCATTGCTTCAGCACGTTGTGAGTCTGTGTGGCCTAGGGCTTTGGCAAACGTAAGTAAAATATTCCTCTCGTGATCTCTGAAGACTCCACCAGCACCAGCTGAGCCTGGATTGCCCCTTGAGCAACCATCAAAATTAAGTTCGATAGTTCCCCTCGGGGGTGGTTGCCAATTATTGGGTTTTTGAGTTTTCCGTGGCTGGTGAAATAGGATATTATCCTAATGGCTTAGAAAAAAGTTTGTAGGTATCCCAGCGAAGACTTTATGATTGGTCGCCCAAAAGGTTACCAAGGCCGTAACCTTATGGAGAAGTGCAGGCCACTATTGATAGAGTCCTTGGAATATCCTATTATTCCTTTCTGTCCAAATAACCCATATAAGCGCAGCAGTCGTAGCCTTCCAAATAATTTTTCCGCCTTTGGGCCATGGCTTGGGGAAATATATGGATAACAGGGATAGGACAATAGGTGGGGTAACCCATTGTATGCCAAAAAGTAACAAAAGCCGGCTCCAAAGGTATCGCGCTTGCTCGCAGTGAATGAACAGATGAGCGTTAGATTCCTCCTCATTTTGGCACATAACGCATCTGTTGGGAATATGGATTCCTCACTTCTGTAGTTGATCTATAGTTAAAGCTCTATGTGATCCAGCTATCCAGCTGAAAGTCTGCACCTTTGGGGGTGCGATCGATGTCCAGACATTAGAAAGGATCGAGCGGGGTTGAAGGCAGAGTGGGAGATTGAGGAAGTCTCCTATAAAAGGAGGCCATTGTAAAACACCAAAGGGGGAGAAAGTCCACACCAAAGCGTCGTTCCCACTGATAGGAATGTAGTTGGCATGCAAAGCTGTTGAAAGTTGAATGAAAGAGAGGGATTCATCATCCGAGAGGTTCCTCCTGAAAGACGAATTACAAACTCTTCACCCGCCTACAATAACCACTACATTGGTATAGGATACAATAACCACTGCATCTCACTCCCGTGGTATAGGATACTCAGTTCTTGGTATGATGGAATCATGGTACTGAATTATATTGGAGCCCTGATCTTGGGCATATGGATCTGGATCCCGCTTGCTACGGACCTCGCTCCCAAATAAATACGAGATCCGAATAAGCAACGAAGCACTTGGAATCGAGATCTGGTCACTCGGAGAGCGGGATCAAGATTCCGGGGTGGAAGGGGACCCCTACATGGGTGCTCCCGATAACTATACTCTAGCCCACCCATGGTGTTGCACAAGGTCTTCTCGACAAGGGTCATGTCCTTTTGCAAGCCTGTGAGACTTGCATCGAATATCACCATGAAGGCCCTGAGGTCATCTATAAGTCCTCCCACACATGCATCATCGGCACTACATCTCTCCACATTTGCCTCAAAAAACACTAACCCGAGCCACCAAGGCAGTGATGCTCTTGGGACACATTCACCATATGCCTCGAAAAACACTAACCCGGCCATCTTGGGGCACCCTTATGAGTTGCTCCAACTGTTCCTCAAGGTATGACAAGTTCCTGGATCTCAGCAGACACACCACTCAACATATCAATTGTTACAGCGCTAAGTTTTTACCATAACCAAACCACACAGTCTAGTGTGAAACAAAACTAGACTATGGCAACGCCTACCTCCACAAGCACTTATAAGAGGATTGGAGTGAGATAAGCACATAAGATATGTAAGAAGTATAGAAAAGGGCCTCAACCACCTTTATTTCACTCTATGCACTTACTGGTAAACAGTCACAGTTGCTCCTCGAGGGTCACCAAGTATGCACCTACACAATCACCCACCGGTTGCATCGCCATCAAGGCCTGCATCACCATTCTACCCACTACCTGGTGCGGCGGTTACCAGCCCACGCCCCACCATCAATGGCATCTCCCGCATGGCCCATTAAGGACGGGGGGCAAAGGCCCCTTCAACTCACTCTAAGAGTCATTAGTAAACCATGCATAACAATCCAAATGTGAAATGGACATCACACAGCCATCAGTCGCTACTCAGGTCCATGACCCATGTGCACTCACCCTCTCATATGGCATTCCACTTACATAAGCACATATCTACATAGCTACACCTCATGCACATGGGCCATGCCCATTTCCCTTTTAAGTTGTAATGCCAATGGATCAACCATCTAGGCTTCAGCCAATCAGTCTTGATGGTCCACCAAGTCCCACCATCTTAGCCATCAAGCTGCACCATCATGCCAAAGGTGTTGCACCAAGGATCTTTTCCATTGATCCACATGTGCACACATCCCTGAACATCACATGCCCTATGCCATACCATCCCTGCCTCCCAATGAAGGTCAGTCAAAGCTAAAGGTACTCCCTCATATGGTTTGTCGATATAAAGAAATAAACTTTACAAGAGAGAGAGAGAGCTTAATTACCCAAAGTAACACAAGTTCATAAAGGATTTCCAGATCATTTTTTACTTTGTTATGTCACCAAGGGAGGTTAACATTCCGTGCAGTGCCCATGCGCATGATGCTAAGGAGGAGGTTTAACAGTAGGCCATCAATTGCGGGGATCAAGGTTATACATGTTGCATTCAGGAAGGATCTCACAGATCGCTCCTCAAACAACAGCTAAGGGGAAAGCATACTATAATCCTAAGGACGACAGAAAAACTAGAGCCCTTGGGGTCATCGATTGAGATTATGGACAATGATAGAGGGGAACCCAACATTAATTCTTGTGGGTCCCCCACCTCTTGACTTTGCATCATCTTATCATCAAACAGTGATGGTCCCAATCGATTGCAGGTACATCATAGTCCATCAAATTATAGTACAAACCCTCAATAATGAGGAATGCATAAAGCAAACAACCAAAGACAACCCAGAAAGAAAAGGCAATGGGAAGAGGGAGAATAAGAACATTGAGAAAATCCTCGTTGTGCGATAGAAACCCTGGTCCTGTAAGAGAAAACAGAAGTAACAGATAGCACAGGGTTCAAGTAGGGTACCAGTCTCATCCAGATCTTCAGGAAGATGAGCCCCAATGCCCAGTCCTGATACAGGAGGAAGACTGGACTTTCGTCCACTGGAACTCGCATCGGCACTACCACAAGCAGCTCAAATAGCAGCCCAATAAGCACCGGAATGATGAAAACCTGAATTCAAAACCAGAAATGACGTTTGACTTATCTAATTCATTGATTTCACCATGGTCCTTGGATAGATGATTGAATCATGGAATATCAGATGAGAGTGCTTACCCAGATTGATAACAAGGCACTGCTTTTTAGCAAGATGGTACACCACTTCCAGGTTTGGGACAACAGGACTCTGGTGCTCCGGGTCTTGAGATAATCGGCCAAATAACCAACCCCAGCTGCCATAGCCCAAATGATATAACACCCTATGGTAAATGCATACATATCTGTGCAAACAAGCCAAGGGGAGCACCAGTTAGTATCCATGAAGGATGCAGAAAATAATTATGGGAATGAGATTTATATTTTCATTACCATTACACTTGACACCATGAGTTATTGGAAGTCTTGGAATGGTGCTGAAAGTAGCACGCCCAAGAGAAACAGGGCCCACAATTAAAGCTGAGTTGAAAAGTAGTAGAGTCATCCATGCCAAGAATAGCAATAAGATGATGCGGATAACAAAACCATACCTGCCACAAATTGTCAGTTAAAAAACTTCTCAGGCCCAGAACACAAAGCTTCAATTTATCAATGTACACAACAATGCAACTAGCACAGTGAAGCATAATTTACAGTACAAGAAATTGGACTTAAAAGAAACCAGCGAAAATAACACACAAACTGGCATGTAATGCACAAGAATGTAGTTTAACCATCAAAGTTATCAAGTTCCAAGCTTTTGATTGCTATTTAGGACAAAACAGCTTTTTGAAGTCTTATCCACATGTCAAATAAGGCAGGTTTAACTTACAAAATCAGCCAACTCACTATAGTTGGGCATGAGACCCCAAACACCGAAAAGAAGGCTCCAGGCATACAAAGCGGCAATGTGGTCAACTTACGTGAGATCAAACAGGGCCTAGAAGCAATTCTCATGTTTGTGTAATGTTTGGCTAAAGGAGGGGTCATGGAAACAATCAAATAAAGCTTCTCAGGAGTGACGTTGGTCATTATTTTATTTGCAATCAATAGAAGTTGTTGGATGCTGGGTTTGGTTCAGCATACCAGACTCCCATGGTGTAGAGTATTCCTTTTTATAGAAGGGAACAATAGGTTACCTTATTGCCAGGATAATTGTCTAGGTACATATGTGCTAACCATTCACACAAGAGTTCCCTAACCTTCAATCTAAGGGTAAACATGTCTTCATAAAAAATCTGTTTTCCACAGTTCATGGTGTATGCACATCTGAACAGCAAGGATTCAAGAAAGAATATGGGTTGCATCACAAACAACACATAAAAGGATGAACAATCATCCCAATCATATTCATGCTTTGGAAAATTTCCACCCCCCTCCACCCCCCCAAAAAAAAAGCCTAACAAAGAGAGAGAGAGAGAGAGAGAGAGAGAGAGAGAGAAAGAGAGAAGAAGAAGAAGCCTGAGTTCAGAAAAAATAGTAATCATTTTATTCTCTTGATAGAACACAGAAGGTCATCAAGTTCCATATATAACTATACATGAATTATGAAGCTAAGCAACGACAAAACCTCCCCCCAAAAACAATGAGAACCAAAACAAACTGAATACACATTAACAAAAAATACCGGAGCCAGATTTTTGGTATCTCAAATTGATGAACATGAGAAATCAATCATTTTTTAAGGTGAACAAGTTTCATATGTAGTAATGAGACACCAGAAGAGAACAATATGAAAATTATAACAATATGTAGCAATCAACACTGACATGTGCAAAGTGCATTGGTACATGTGCAAAGCAAGTGCCAATGTACAGAAAATTGACTCGGCCAATGGTTAAGCCGAGTAACTCTGGCGAGTCCAAGTAACTCGCCCAAGTCTAGCCTAATTTAAAAATAAATAAATAAATGAACAAAAAAAAAAGTATATATAACATAGCCTTCACTTTGATTACAGCCAGCAGCAAATGGCTCTTGGAATGCCGCTTTGTGAGACGTCTTGGGTTTGATTCCCCAGCTGAATTTTTTTTTAACTCCCAAAACAAAAAAAATACAGGTTTGAAAAAAGGAAGGTGACATTTGTTAGTGGGATTCGAACCCCCACCACAATTCAAAATGACCATGTACACTACGTGCTATGCCCTTCAGAGGCATTTGATTTAGAGTGATACATTATTATATATAACCTAAAAAAATCGGCGTACAGCAATACTTGCCTTGATTCCAGATACATGGGCAAGTGCCATATATAAAATTCCGAGAAATAGTTTTGAAAAACAATGAAAACTTACTCTTCAGAATCAGACTGATCATCAACATCAGACTCTGCAGCCGCATCCATGTTTCCTGCTGCACGATTAGCATCTCCATTGGCTGGATGTTCTATGACAACCCACTCCTGTTGCTCAACACCACCTCGACGAGCATCATGCAATCTTTCTTGCCTTCCTTGCTCAGCATTCCCATTTTCCCGGCCACTATTATCCCCAGGTCTTGCCAGTAAGAAATCGGTTAACCCAAGCGCCCATCCAGCTACTACAAACCATCGATAAAGGACTGCCTTAATGGTCGCACGAAGCCTGAAGTGTTGAATAGCAAATGGCATGGCAATCTGGAACAGCAACATGTCTACTGGGATCTCAGTAAAAGGATCGGAAACACTGCAACAATATTGTTCATGATTGAATGTTAGCAACTGAGAGCAACAAGATGAAGAAAACATTAAGAAGCTATGTGAAATTGTAAATATATCAGCACATCAGAACAATGATGAAATTTGTAGAGATGTACAAGAATGTAACGGAAAAACATACGAGATGTCAAGTGGAAAGACAGATGGAGCCAATCGCATAGCAAGTTTGACAGGTAGAAAAACGAGCATCACAATCAAGGTCCCATAGACTGCAACGGATAGCATAACGCGACGAGCATGTTTGTGCACAGGATCATCAATCAAATCACGAAACGGATTGTAATTTGGATCAGCAGGATCTCTGAGGAAATACAGAACTCCAGGGCGCAGAACCTGGATCAAATAATATAATATATTAAGGCCATAAAATGCTGGTAACAATAAATTGAATTAAATGAAAAAATTATTAAGTAATGAAGGTCAAATTCTTGATAAAGCAATACCCCTCGAAGAAGGCTGACGAAGATGCTTATCTGTAGCATGTAAAGGATTCCCACAAGCCAATGTATGAACGAGCTTGCTGATGGTGAAATTGAGAAAAACTCAACCCGCTGAGCAATCGTTGACCCCAGCATTCTTATGGTGCAAATATCAAGCCACCATCCACACATTAATGGGAACACCCCAAGTTCAATGACAAGAAGGAAAGCAACTTTGACCGTAGTCATTAAATGCTTCATTCCAGACAAGAACTGTTTGAAAACGGAAGGAATGGCCTCTGCAATGGAGGCAATCCCGTAGAACCTGCCTATTGTCAGTGGTTCACCCCTGCTGTAGCGGATCAAAGCCACAAGCCCAAGGTAAAAGAAGACCAAACAAAATATTAACATATAACCAGTAACCAGTGTACCAACATCAGAAAGCTGCAAGGCTCCTGCCCCTTTTAACAATTCAGCATGTCCCAGTCCATTCTTTAAGTGAGAAACTTCATCTAATCCTGTCATATTTGTTTTCAGAGCTTCAGAAGCTACCTTCACAACCTGATCAATCAAGCCTTCATTACCACCATCTGAGGAGAAATTTGTAACAACAGTTTGCAAGGTGATGTTTGCCAAGGCAACACCAGACTCTGCAACTGGCTTGACTGTTGACAGCATGACGCTAGAGGTGGAGGATGGCAAAAGCCAAGATGCATAGAAGAGTATAACACGTCCCAATGAAAAAGGCAAGAAGAATACAACCCCAATAAATATTGCATTGCTAGCAAGAACCTGTAAATAGAAGAAATATCTAAATTTAGCAAGTATACAACTCTTATGAAGTGCATTGGAATACTCACAATAAAGTTGATTGATGAATAGATTTGCAACTTAATTTCTCAAAATTTCTGCGGCAAATAAATTTTTTATGGACAGGAGTATCATCTCAGCAAACAAAATTTTTGTAAGGCAGGAATAACTAAACCTAGTAAGGCAAGAATCCCTAAACATTTTAAGGACAGCTGAGTGGAGGTAACAATATTTCCAAATAAAAAGGGAGCACCTCACAAGTTTATGAACACTTCATATCATAAGACACATGCAAGATCATAGTTGCTATTCATTATAACTTTATACTCAATCTTGGCAGTGAAAAATAAAGCAAAGTAAATAAGCAGATAATGCTGAGACCATATAACATTTCCTACAAGCAAAGAAATAAACTTGGTAGAAGCAATAAGACAAAGCATTAAGGAATAACACAAAAATGAGGAAGAGGACACAGAGAGAGAGAGAGAGACTCACAGTTATTGCATTTTCAACCAAATGAAAAACAGGTCCTTGCATGCCAACAAGCTCATCGAAAGGAACATCTTCAGCACCATCGGCATCATCCAGACCATCAAACATCTGTTCAACATGTGCTTCAAGGCGTGCAGCTTGCATTTCCAGCCGGGCAGCAACATTCTCTGCATTCCTCCTAATAATTTGACCAGCACCAGCAATCCCTTGGCCCCCAACATTATCCTCGCCATTTCCGGCAGCAGCAGGATTCCTTGCACCACCTTGGCCAGGAGGTCTCCTAACACGAGGCCCATGTCTCTCTAGGCCATCATCTTCTCTCTCTGCATCTTGTACCCCACCAAGCTCTCGAAGATGCCTAAAATAGTCCCTCAAGGAAGTGGCCCCGAGAAATATAAATACAATGCCAGCAGAAAGTAAAAAACCATGAAGACAGTCTGTTAGAATGACCGCAGCAGAAAGATGACTAAGGAATAATCTCTGAGCCTCTCCAATGCTCCTCACAAATGCTAATCGCCAAATCCAAAATGTGATGAAGGGAATTATGGTGAGCCACACTGAGAGCACAAAAGCCAGACGCAAAAAGAATTGCAGGACATGACATGCTTTCATTGCCATCCCGACTAGAAACTCTTGGAAAGGGAGTCTCATTGGGGCATTCTCAGCATAAACAGGAGAGAAGGAAAATGCATGTTTGCACACCTGCCAGCATGACAAGGGCATAATAAGCACAAATACAAATGCAATGAGCATCATATGGAGAGGCACACCATACAAGACAATCAACGAAACAGCATGCTTGAGCTCTCATTGATCAGAAATATAAGTCAAACAAGTCCAATAAACAAAGCTGAAATCATTACAGTTTGATTTATACAAATACACATACACACATATATAAATACATACAGATATGTATAGGGAATACACATGTATAAATTCCATTTCTATACAGCCCGCATATGTCACCTTCAATTTGACCATCCAAACAGGATTTGTTTGACCCAAAATTTTAGGAATGCTCTAAAAAACACTAGATGAACAGTTTTTTGTTTCGCGGGGGGGGGGATGATTTTGAACACATGTAACACTAGATCTAAAAGTGCACTAAAATAAAGAACTGACATTAACCCAATTTTCTCTCTCCTTAGAAAACGGTTTTTTAAGGTTTATTTCAGGTTTTTGTGCGGACTCCGACTTTGTTAATGCACAAGCCCAAGACAACGCTAATCAAGTCATGCGAGTGATGGGATTCAAATTTGAAGGCCATGAAGAAGCCCTCCAGGACTTCCTCCATGCGAATTCCCTCCCTCAATTCAAGGTCACCAGGAGAGGCAACTGCAAACTCTCAAACCTAGTGTTTGGGATCAACTACGATAGGCCATCCAATCGAAGGTCATCAATTCACCATCCCTCTTCTTCCTTGGGGGGCTCTCCCCAAATACACTCAACTAGGCGAGCTTTACCCTCCCTCCCCCTTCATCATGTTAATATTGTCCTGGAATGTGTGAGGGCTCGGCAACCCATCAAAGCGCAGTGCCATCTGTGACATCTGCACTCACCATTCATTGGATCTCATAACTCTCACTGAAACTAAACTTCCAGCACCCTCCCTAATCCAAGTTAGACAAGTTTGGGACCGAAGGCCGAGCCAATGGGTAGCCTTGCTGACATCAGGGGCCCCGAGAGGTATTTGGGTTATTTGAGACCCCTCCACCTATTCTCTCATTTGTTCTCACTTAGGCTCTTTCTCTATCTCATTGGTTCTTTCCAAAACCTCGGATGGCTTTCAATGGAAGTTTTTGGCCATCTATGGACCAAACTCTAACAATCTCAGGGAAGAGTTGTGCGAGGAGCTCGACTTGGATGCATTCCTTTCCCCGCCAATTTTGTGATCGGGGGGTGACTTTAATGTCACCAGATTCTCATTCGAATGAAATTCTAGGGCTAGAGTCACTGGGGCTATGACTCGATTCTCGGACTTCATAGCCCAATTAACTTGGTCCAACCCCTTCCTCTCCAAGATTGATTGTTTTCTTCTCAGTCCCAATGGGACGCAGCCTTTGCTAGCTCCTTTGCCTCAACTCTCCCTAAACCGACCTCAAACCATTGCCCGATCCTCCTCTATACCCAACCTACCCCTAGGGGCCCGAAACCTTTCCGCTTCTAGCTAGCCTAGATCCAGGATCCTGACATCCTTCAACTCATTCCCTCTTGGTGGCATTTCTTTTCCCCCCTGGTCTCTGATAGGGAAAGATTCCAATTTTAGAGGAAGCTTCAACTTCTTAAGGCTTCCCTCCAAGAATGAAGCAAAAGCTTGCCCGGGAATCTAAGAGCCAAGAAAAGCTCAATTCTCCTAGCCATCCAACACTAGGACCAATTAGAGGAACTGAGACCCCTCATGGTAGCCAAAAGAAACAGCAAGTCTAACCAGAACTCAAATACCTCTCTCTCCCATCAAGAAAGAGGAAATATACTGGTACCAAAGGTCGAGAGTCAAGTGGCTTAAGTTTGGTGACCTCAACACTTCCTTTTTCCATAAATTCGCAAACTATAGACAGCGGGACAACACCATCACCCACATCAACGTCGAGAACTCCATCTTCGAACACCCTACCGAGGTCGAAAGAGCCACTCTAAAATTTTTTCAAAAGCTCTTCTCAGCCCCCCTGGGCCTATACCCACCATGGGAAATCTATCCTTCCGTACCCTCCCTCCCGAGAGGGCCGAATGGAGCGAACAACCTTTCTCAGAAGAGTAAATACTCAGAGTTATCCAAGGTCTTGGCCAAGACATGGCTCCATGCCCAGACGGCTTACCAGTTACCATTTTCAAGACCTTTTGAAGTTCGTTTAGACAGGATATCCTCACGTTCTTTAAGGAATTCTTCAACATGGGAATAGTGCATAAAGCCCTTAATGCCACTTTCATCACTCTTGTCCCCAAGAAAAAGGACTCGAGGAACTCAAGGTGTTCCATCTGATAAGTCTCATATATAGTTCTTATAAAATTTTGTCTAAGTTGCATGCCTCCTGCCTTAGAGATGTCCTCAGCCTGGTGATATCCCCATAGCAGGGTACATTTGTGACAGATCAACAAATACTTGATGGGGCCTTAGTGGCTCATGAGTGCATCCACTCAAGCCACCTATCCAAAATCCCTAGCCTTATTGTCAACTTCAATTAGGTAAAGGCCCAAAAACATGTCAACTGGGTGATCCTTGATGAAATCCTTCATAGCCGTGGAGGAGATGGGTCCGTGGCTGCATATCCAACCCTTATTTCTCAGTTTTGATTAACGGTACTAACGGGGACTTCTTCCCCTTATCTAGGGATCTGCACCAGGGCAACCCCCTCTCCCCTTTCCTCTTCACCATTGCAGCCGAAGTCTTTAGCCGTTCCATCTCCCGGCGTTCCATCTCCCGGCTCTTTTGTGAAGGCCTACTCCATGAGTTTAAGTGCGGCACACTCATGGCCCTACCATCCCATACTTACAATATGCAGATGAGACCTTGGTGTTTTGTAATGCTCCACCCTCAAGAGACTAATATTCTCTTCCTGTTTCTTGAATGTTTTAAATGAGCTACTGGCTTCAAGCTTAATATGGGTAAATCGAAGATGATAAGGGTAGCGTTTGACCCCCACTTAACCCAAGCTTTGGCCAAGATTTGGGGCAGCAGTACAAATACCCTTCCCTCAAAGTCTCCCAATTTGTATTGGCATACCTAAGCTTAGCTGTTGGGCACACATCATTAATAAATTTGAGCATAGGCTTGCTACAAAGGTCATTTCCTCTCCCTGCCTGGCAAAGCCACACTTATCTGAGTTATGCTCTCTTATTTCTTTTTTTTTAAATTCTTTTCAAAGCTACGCTCTCTTTTTTCTTTTTTTGAAATTCTTATCCGAGCTACGCTCTCTAGCATCCCAATATACCACTGTCCCGTTGCCACTGTCCTCTAGAATCTTCACCTTTTCCATTAGTAATAGGTTACCCCACAATCTAACCCTCGGCTCTTTTCTTCCTTTCAGCCCTACCCATGGCCTAAGCTTGGCATTCTCCTCTGGAAGGCATCCAACTTCGTGCTCCTTTGGACTGTGTGGAACGCACGCAATCATAGGAGCCTCCAAGGACAATACCAGTCTACAGCAGTTCTATTTGACAAGATCAAATCCCGGTGACTTTTTGGGCTTCTAGCCATAAACTCTTCAAGGGTATCCATCGCTCGGCCTCTCACCATGACTGGCTACCCCTCCATCTTTCACACCTCAGGGTCCCCCGAACCTCACGCTGGATTCCTCCTGACTTTGGTGCCATCAAACTGAATTTTGATGGTTGTTCCCTTGGCAACCGTGGATAGGGCGGTATTGGTGGCTTGTTAAGGAACCACAAAGGCGAAATCCTGGTTCCCTACTCCAAACCTATAGGACACTTTGACTCCCAAATGGCATAAGCTCACGCACTCCTCGAAGGCCTTGGACTCTTCAACCACAATTGGTCATCTACCCCATCGTGGAAGGTGATTCACACAATGTAATTCACTGAGCCTCCACCTCCACCCCCTATCTCTGGTCTCAAGCATACGCACTTGCCACATAAAGTGTTGACTGAGAAATTTTTTGCAGCCTCAATCATCATTTCATATTGGCTCAGTGTCTCATTATCTCTCCCCTTCGACCCTCCATATTTTGTATAGGGCTCCCTTAAGGGAAGTCTCATTTTTTGGATGTATATAGCCCCCATTCCTTTGGGGTCAAATTTTGTTACATTTTGTATGTTTTCTGCCTTAAATACAATGTTAACATTTTCAAAATAAGAGAGGTTGGGGGGGGGGGGAACAAATTTCTACAGCACTAACCTAGTGGGTAGCGTAAACTCTCTTCCTCCCTCGCTCTCTCTCACTCACTCACGCACACACACATGCATTCGTGTGTCTAAAAAATGTACGTTATAGCATAAGTCAATGGCCTCAGCAAACTCCAAGCAGTTTGGGTCCATGCCCCAAATGTGATGGACAAAGAGACTTGGAGCCTACATGAGTATGGCTAAGAACTAGTGTGCTACAGTAGAGGGTTTGAGGCTAGGGTTTAGGAAAACTACAGTGAGAGTTTTTGGACATTAGACTTCATGGACAGCTAAGGTTTGGGTGAGGATTTGGTTAGCCGTTGGAAGCTAGGGTTCAAAATGAATAGAATTCGATGGAATTAGGAGCATGCTTACCAAGATCGCCCAAGAAGGTGGTCGCTCTGGCTCCGAAAGCTTGATCCTGTACTCCAGGACAAGGAATCTCGATTCCAGGTGCTTTTTGAATTTTGGGATCTCGATCCACAAAAATTGGGGATCTAGATCCCTGGTTATGGGATCCAGATCCCTCTCATCCACATCATGGGTCCATGTGTAAGTAGGATCGAACCTCCACCAATGTGAAATCAAGTTTCCTTTACATTAGTACCAAAGATCACCAGCATATTTCAAATCACATGCAATGACGCCCCCCCAATCCTCTCTCTAACGCCCTAGTCCATCTCTCTCTCTCTCTCTCTCTCTCTCTCTCTCTCTATGTGTGTGTGTGTGTGTGCGTGCACAAGAGCATATTTCTCTAAAACTTCTAAAATCTGAACTAGCTTTTAGTATAGAGATCAACTAGTTGAGAAACAGTCCCAATACCTCAACGATAACCAAGGTTTAAAGTTGGAGTTGGAACT